TAAGATACACGGTCTAATTCTGAAGTCTAAGCTAGCCTGGAAATTATTATGTAGCCCAGGCTAGCCTTGAATTTGCGGCAATCCTCTGCATTGGTCTTCTGAACACTTGTGATCACAATTGTGTGTGTGTGTGTATGTGTGTGTGTGTGTGTGTGTGTGTGTGCCACATGTACAGGTGTCCGAGGAAGCCAGAGAGTGTATCAGAGCCCCTGAAATTGGCCTTATAGGCAATTACTAAACATCTAGTATGAGTGCTGGAAAGTATACTGCAGTCCTTCATCAGGGCAGCAAATACTTCTGATGGCTGAGTAATTGTTGTAGCTTCCAAAGTCGTTTTCTTTAGTCTTAAAATTAAAATCTGAGAATTTCATTCAGTGTATTTTGGCTGTATTTACCCCCCTGCTCCTCTCTTTAGCTCTTCCCAGATGCACACCCTCTCCCTATTCCACCTTTTCTAGCTTCTTGTTCTTTCCCTTCCCTACTCAGATAACCCCCTTAGTACAACTTGTTCTGCCCACATCCTCACGAGTGTGAGGTCATCCTCTACAGCACATTCAACATAGAAGACACCGCTATCCCCTTAAAGAAAACTGACTCTCCCTCCTCCAAGAAGCTGTCCATATCTGCCATGTCAGTGTGGGGGTCTTTGAGCCCCTTCTTCTATGATGGATTGCTGACCGGCTTCATCTTGTGCAGGCAGCCACAGCTGTTCAGAGTTCATAAGTCCCATCAAGTGCAGAAAACATTTGTTTCACTCTGGCCTTACCCAACCTCTGCTCTGAAAATTTCTGTCCCCCCTTTTTACGATAGTCCCTGAGCCATTTGTTGGGGAATGATAGAGGTAGATGTTCTATTTGTGGGCGAGAGCCACACTGACAGGTACTCTCTGCAAAAAGCTGGTTTCCTAATGAAGGGAGAGCCAAGACCAGGTGTGGTCCGGTGGTACAATGTGTGGGTGTCATGTGCAAACCCTTGAGTTAATTCCCAGTAATGCAAGTAATCTTGACAGGAATAATAATTATTTTATAAAAGGAAATGTGAACAAATCAGAAAAGCTTCAGAGATTGTCCTGGTGCGCTTTCTATTGCCATATAAACACCATGAGCAAAAGCAACTTTTGGAAGAAAGGGTTTATTTCACATTACAGCTTATAGTACATCACTGAAGGAAGTCAGTCAGGGCAGACATTCAAAGGAGGAATTTGGAGGCAGGAACGGAAGCAGAAGCCATAGAGGAACACTGCTTACTGGCTTCCATCCTATGGCTTGCTCAGTCTGCTTTCTTAAAGAGCCTAGGGCCACCTATTCTTTTCATATCATTCGTTTATCAAGAAAACGCCCCGCAGAAAGACAACATTCACACAGTTCATAGGACGTAGAGAGGCTGAACTGGTGCCTTCATGAAGCCTTCTACCCTTCATCTAGTTCCTCTTAGACACAATAGTCTAACAAATAACAGGTCCATTGACCCACAGGTTAGTGCTATTGTTCTAATTTACCCTTTAGAACTTGATGAAAATAGCTCTATCGGTCATAAAACTTGTAAAATCAAGTTGGTGTTGAACTGAGAACAAAGATCTTTAGGTTCTAATCCACATCTTTCATTGTTTTTCAGTCAGTAGCTATTAGTGAAGCATTACCCTTGTCAATAAGCACTCAGTAAATTTATGACTTCTGTACAAATGTTTTCTTGTTCCATTATTGTATTTTATTTGATGTCTTGTCTAATCTTTCATTAGTATCACAGAGACACTATCACTGTATGTTTATATTTATTCTTTAAATTATTGTATGTAGATATAGTTTCCATTTTTCTTAAAATGGAAGGATTCACAATAATATTTTTACTTAAGTATCTCATTTTTTTTGACAATAATCTTCTTCCTTTATAATGTTACTCATCACTATTTTCTTTAGTCAGCTTGTCTTTCCACACTGTCTCCCTTCTATTTAAAGCATATACTTCATAAATTATAAATATATCACATGGATATATGTGTATTATATTTCTTAATAAAAAGGAACATGTGATATTTGTCTTAAGTCTGTAATATTTCAATTTATATAATGATCTTCAATTACAAGTATTGCCCACAAAGCACACCATTCCTTTCTCCACTAATATAAAACAGCATTGTGAATATATTGTAAAAGATCTCCAGAAGCTAACGAGAGTTAGGAAGGTGGTTCATTTAATGAAGTGCTTTTATCCAGTAAAAACCCAGGCTTAGTGGCACGCACATCTTGTGTCTAGTCATCACTAGAACCGCAAGTGCTATGTCAATACATGTGTACACACATAGAGATGCTGATGAAACAAGGCCAGGAAATTCGGGAAGTTGGAACACCATTGTAGCTTCTCCAGAGAATGATGAAAACCAGCAAACAATTGGGGAAGGGGGAGTCTATCAGGTGGACCTGACTGCACTTATTTTAAGGGGTCCAAGGATACATGAACTGGTGTCCATATTAGTCTGAGCTTTTCCTGAATGCAGTTGCTTTTAAGTCAGCCAGGCTTCTCTAAATAGGCTCAATGAATTCATTTTTATATCCAGGTAGTCTTGAGTAGAATAAGTTCTTTAGTTTGATATTGGTACCTACACCTCAGATGATGGACACTTATTTCCATACTGGGAAACGCCATGTGAGCCTCAAGAACTCTTCTGCTGTTCTAGTTGTTCTCTTCTGACAACAAGTCTTGCTTACCTCCACCAAGTTGGCGAGAATGAAGACAAAAGCTGTACCATATTATTGCATTGAGTCCCTAATCACTTGAGAGATATCAGCACAGGTTAATGGAGTGTCTCAGGGAATATTCAGGGTTACTAGCATATTTTAGAATACTAAACCTCATAGTTTATTAAGCTGGGATAGCTAATCTTTCATCCACCTCTGTGAGGAGTATAAAGTGTCAGTTTATTTGCTTCCTCAGCAGTGGGAACCACCGGAACGTCTATCTGTCTTTAATTAGTCATGTGACACATACTTACATGTGCTTATTTTTTCACTTTTTCTGAGCTTTTGGTAAAATTGTCTATTCATTTTTAAGCTTGTTGGAAGAAAGTCTTTTTACAGTCAGAGAAGCTAGTTAAAAGAGCAAAAAATGCAAATTTCTGGCACATTTGTAACTACTAACTTACTAAAGTCAGATTAATTCCTGGGCTAATCTAGACCAGCAGCTAGATTTTACCCTTACCTTTACAGAAAGAGTAGCCCTGAAGAGCCTCTTGTGGGAATAGTGGAATGGATATAACAATGCTGTTATTAAAAATTTAAAAATGAATGAGCTAGTTCCAGGACAGGCTCCAAAACTACAGAGAAACCCTGTCTCGAAAAACCAGAAAAAAATTGAATCATTTAAGAGATTGTATTTGAAAAATGTAAGAAGTTGATATCAGAAGGGCATTGTCTTTACTATATCATGGTGGTATTATTTCTTCTAGTTTAAAAAGTTGTTCAGAAATATGAAAATAACTAGTTTGTAGCAACATTGCCCTTTTGTAGGAAATAATCTTTAAAATATATAGTCTGCAAGGAAACACTGAGGATTAAAAGTTTGTTTGAATAGAGATATTTAAGGCTTTAAAAGGTTACTATAATTTGGCTATAGTTAAAACTGTGTTTTCAGAAGCCTTAAGTGGGAAGCAATTATAGTTCTCTAAAACATATTCACATCCTACTTAAATTTTTTTCGGTGTTTGCTTTTATTTTTATTTTGTGTATGTGCAGATGGATGTGAATCTGTGTGCAAATGTGTGTGAAAGCCTATGGTTGATGTCAAATACTGCTCTTCAACTGTTGTCCTTATTTTTAGAAAGGGTCTCGCATTAAACTTAGGGTTAATTGATTTGGCTAGGATAGCTAGTCATGTAACTCCAAGGATCTGTCTGTTTTCATCTGGTTCAAAGAAGTGTACCACCACACCTGACTTTCATGTGGCTTCTGGGATCTGAACTCAGATCCTCATACTTTCTTGGAACTTTCCAGACTGAGTCATCTTTGCAGTCACTGTTTTTGATTTTATTAAATAAATATTAAACATATTTGTAAAATACAGCCATGGGGATTGTGTCTCATTGTCGCTTCCTTTTGGTTGCAACCTGAGAGGGTAGGCAGAGTTGGTAAGTGAACTGTTGTCTGCTCAAGGACCTACAGTGTTCATTTTTAATTTCACATTTAACAAAATCCCTGAGGAACACTACAAAATGTTCTTTCTATCCTTTGAGCTCTATTTAAAGACTTTCACTCAATTATTTTAGAAATTTAAAGTTCTTAAAAGCCTAGTTAACATATGGAGAATGATGCCATAACTTGCAATTATTTAATTGCTGTGTTAAATTAATTTCTGGCAGTAGTTTAATGTTTTTATTTTAATTTTTATAAATGTATACCTATGTATTTTTCTCAACAGTTAATGAGTTTAAAAATATATTGTAATCCAGTAGCCTGTCATGTTTTTTTTTTATCATTTCACTAATCTTTACTTATAGTTTCTGTAGAAGTATGTCCTTAACACAAGATGGAAAAGTCCAAATTGCTATTATCACATTGGAATGTACAAAAATTTATCTGCAGTTGCTGTGGTATAACCTACACTGTGAATATATGTTGCTTTCATCAGTGGATATTAAAAGCTGCTTTGACCTATAGCAAGGCGGAATATTCCTAGGTCATAAAGCCAAACTGAATTCGTGGAGAAAGGAGGATGGAGCTGGAAGAGACTTGAGCCAGATGCCCAAGAATCAAGATGCCAGCAGACTGGTAAAAGCCATGGCTACATGGTGATACATAGATTAATAGAAATGGGTTCATTTAAATGTAAGAACTAGTTAATAATAAGTCTGAACTATAGACCAAGCAGTTTGTAATTGATATTAAGTTCTGTGTTATTATTTTGAGACTGGGCAGCTAGGAAGCAAAAGCACTGCTTCATTTACCTATTGTGCCCAATGTGGTTTGACTTTCTCACCTAGCTTTAATCTTCCTTGCCATAGGTCAAAGCAGTTTTATTATCAACCAATGAGAGCAACGTATATTCGCAGCATACAGAAGGATAATCCCACAGCATGCAGTATACAAATTTTTCAATTCAGAGTAACATGCGAGATCAAACACAAGTATCAGGAGTCTGCGCCAAGATGTGAGAGGTATGTAGAGTGCTGACAAGGCAGTTTTTAATTTTGATCATATCATGGCCTCTTGTCAGTCCTTGGGGAAAATTATCTTGACTATAGAAATAGAGAAAATGAGACTAGATAGTTTGTTAATGTTGAAATGCTGTGCCAGGTCTTCAAAAATAATAGCCAATATCTTGCTACTCTATAGAAGTATTGTGGCCCCTGACTTTGAAAAAAAACTCACGGGATGGATAAGAATTCGGGGACTAGCCTCTTAGATTGACTTTAATAACAGTAGCATTACTACCCTTCATGCTATTTACTTTCACTGAAGCTTTTCATTGCACATCTACATAATACCTTTAAATAAAGAGTAAGCATTTCTAAAAACAAAAATTATTGATAAGAGCTGGAGATGACAATTACTTTATGTAAAATAAATATTAAGAAGGAAACCCTAAAACTTTTTAATCTTTCTTATCTAGCATATCTTCAGGATCTTAGAGTATTCAGAAATGAAAATATCTGCATTAGTGTGGTACTCCATTGGGGAGGACTTCCCACATGACATAAGGCTAACAGAGAAGGAAGAAATATTACATTTATTAAGTATTATTAATACTTGAAATGCATTTGTGTAAGGTTGCCTAGGTATTGAACTCTTAGTATTTACTTCTACTCATAGTAAATAATGGTAAACTGTGAGATTTTCATCAGCAAAATGAGGACAATCATAGATTCTACCTTGTGGATTTGCCATGCTGGTATATAAAGATGTATGGAGATGCTTGTTACGTGCTTTCTACACTTCTCAATATAATCATTTACTAGTTGTGGTTCATTGAGGTGGGCATTTCCCTGAGACTTTGTCACTAGGCTTAAACAGATAAGGCAGTTTGCCTTATAACAATATGATGTTGTTTAGCTTTTTCTTTCTGTTAATATATACTGATAGTAAATAACATATTATGCAGAAAAATAAAAAATAATCAAAATGCAAAAATATTTTTTGTGAATTATTATGGATGTCTTAAGAAAAATTATTAATGGTTGAAATCAAAGTGTGAACTAGCTCTGTCTTATGGGGACACTTTTTGTATTTAAAACTAAGACAAATTGTTGCAAGAAATTTGATCACAATGTGACACTCCTAGATTGTGTTAGTAAAGTTATCATTGAATTGGGGGTGAAGTCAGCAATTAGCTGACTGGAATTAGCCATAGAGAAGTAAGGAATATGGATAGGGAAGATGAACAGGAAGGAAAAGGGAGAAGCTTGGAATTCCTCACTCTCTTTGATCTTTTTGAGAGAAGAGGAGCTGGATGGGTCTTGGGTAAGAAAACCTTGGGTGAGTGACCTGGGAATTCTTATGGAGAGAATTATGTTATATCTTAAAAATCTTTCTTATGTTAAGAATGGAGAATATCACAACGCAGGGAGTTAGGATTCTGTATAGTGAAACTATGGATGGTTTAAAAATGGAAAAAAAATAAGTAGATAACCGATTTAGCTGAGATTTTAATGTTGATTATAATTGCTATCAGCTTGTTAATTCATATTTTATCCTTAAAAGGTAGTTTGATATAAATTAACTGGTAATATACAAGCTTTAGAAAGACTTACTATTGAGAAAATACAAGCTTTAAAAGACCTACTAATGAAAATTAAAAAGTATTAAAATACCATTTAGACAAGAACACTGCTTAATAAAACCAAAGAGGGGCAGCTCAGTGTTATAAGAAAACCAACCTTTGGTTATCCAGTTACTATACAAAAATAATCAGATGATAGACAGCCCCAAGGTTAAGCAGAAGTTAAATGAAATTGTGTAGAAATGTTAGATTTCAGGAGATTTAAGGAAGTGGTAATTTCATATGGTATGCATTTATCCTGTGTGAAACAGATGTTAAATTAATGGACAACTCAGAACAGAATTATTCGAAAAATCTGGAAAGATTTAGCAACAGCAATATTGGAAGGTGGTTCTCAGTAACAATGGAGAACATGGTGGAAAGAGGAAGCTAGGACCACAGAACAATGAATTAGGGGTGGAGGTGTTAATATTTTTCACGAATAGTTTTTGGGTGAAGATCCACCTGATGAATTGGGAAGACAGTGTGAATTCAATGACTACATCTTGGCTCTGTGTCTTTAGTAACTTTGAACACTTGGGAGAAGACTGGAAAATCAGGAAAGAGGTCTGAATCTTTTACTAAAATTGCACAGGGCTCAAAAGAAGCATCTACTTATTTTTTTTTCATAATTTATTTCAGAGAATAGTATCAGATCCAGAAGTGAGACAATTATTAATTGATTCTATGACTTTTGGAAATGCTAATTTGAAGTGCAAAACTGGTGAGTAGACCTTTAAAGGAGAATCAGCACTAATAGATGAATGAATTAAAAATGCAGCTGATATTGGATCTCACGATTATGATGCTACTTTGACAGAAATGATTTCTAAATATTTTAAGAAAAATCAAAATATCGGATGTTTTAGTTGGTGTAAACAAGGTCATCTGAAAAGGAATTGTAGGCAAGGCATTCCTAGAAACAGTGTTTCTTCAGTAGATAAGTCCCAGCCTGCTGGAGTATGCAGAAAATATGCCAAAGGCAAGCTATGGACTAATGACTGCAGATCAACAAGAGACTGGCAAAGTAATCCCTTGCCATCAAGAAATGTCTTAGTGGCCTCACTCAGGCCCCAATAGCAAATTTGGTTCAACCATTCCCTGTCATCATTGGAGAAATTCATTCACAAAGCAATTAAAAGACTTAATGCCTGTCACCAAAAGCCATACTACTCTGAATTTGATCAAGGAGAGAATAGCGTCAGAGGATAAAACAAACAAACAAAAATAAATCAGGAGGTACTGTAAAACAAGTATTTTGTCAAACTTCTATAAAATGATCAAAGACAAAAGCTAAAAATGCTATTAAATGGACATTGTAATTGAAGGTTTGGTAAGCATAGGGACACATGTAAAAATAATTACACAAAAATAATTACATAAAAATTTACCTCTTCAGGAGGTAAATATTCAACTTCTAGAAATTGGAACTTTAATTATTAATTATTTTATACATGTGAAACAAAGTACATGGCGGGATTTATAGGACCAGAAAAACAGATAGAAAAACTAAACTCATATGTGACTAAGATAGCAATGAATTTATGGGCATGCGATTTGTTATAGCTCTGGAAAAAAAAAACAGATTAACATTTCTCCAGTTTTAGAAGCAACCCATAAAATAATGTTTCTGAGAGAAATTTTAAAAGGTATTATCAAGAAAGGTCCCTGACTGTTCAGGTTGTACAGAAGCAGGTCACAAGAGCTGTTGGTCTTTCACAGCCATCAGCAGACCTACCTTTAAAATGGTGAACATGTATGGGTGGAACAATGACCTTGGACATGATGAAAATTAAAGGACCAGAACAACTGGGACAAGAACAGCAAAATGCTCAACATATTGAAGAGTCAACCAGTTCTTGAAATTCTTCGATATTTGTCATTAAAACAAAATCTGTAAAATGAAGAATAGTAGCAGGTCTAAGAGCTGTAATAAGGTGATCCAGCCACAGGGCTGTTTATAGCCTTTGCCTTCCTTATTACATAAGCTATGGTCTATGATGGTGATTGATTTAAAAGACTATTTTTTACTCTACCGTTATAAAAAACAGAACAGAGGAAATTTGCCTTCGGTGTGCCCACTTATAATCATTCTCAACCTTTTGGAAGATGCCATGGGAGGATCTTGCCATAGGAATGTGAAACTGCCCCACGTTTTATCAATATTTTGTACAACACCTGCTAGAAAAAAAACTGTAAATAGTTTCCTCTATCTACAATTTACCAGTATATAGATGATCTCTTACTGGCTGATTTAGATGCAGATAACTTCAAAAAAAATGTTGTGATGAAGTAAAGAGAATTTTGTCTTGTTGGGGATTACAACTTGCTCAGAAAAAAATGCAAAAAGGATATTAATTATCTAGGATATAAATAAGAAAGGTTTACAGAAAATTCAATCCCAGAAGGTACAAGTCAGAAGAGATCAATTATGAACCCTTAATGATTTTCAAAAATTGCTGGAAGATAATAACTAGCTATGGCCCACAATTGGGTTAACTATTCAAGAACAAAGTAATTTATTTCAAACTGAACAAGGTGATAAAGGCTTAAATAGTCCAAGAAAATTATCAGCTGAGGCTGAGAGAGAGAGAATTGGCTTTGTTAAGAAAAGAAATTACAGGATGTACATGTGGATGGCTTGTATCCAGAGCTTGATTTTATCATAATCAAACTATCTTCTACTCATTCTCCTACAGTAACTCCTTCACTGAGAGAAGATAATATCTTAGAAAGGATATTTTTACCCCATAAACAGGGTAAAAAAAGAGAGATCTAGTTAGAAAAGATTTCTGAATTGATTCTGAAAGGAAAATTGAGACTTTCTCAGTTAGTAGGAATAGACCCAGCAGAAATTGTGGTGCCTTTTACTAATGCCAAAATTTTCTCATTATGGGCAAAAAGTGAACAATGGCAAAAAAAAAAAAAGCACAAAACTTGCAGGAATTTGTTGGGAGGGACTAGCAACAACATCCCAACAGAAACAGACTTCAGTTTATAAAAAGAACTAATGGATTTCATCTCACCTGGTTTGAGGAATACTAATTTCTGGAACCTGTAATTCTATACTTTTGCAAATAAATCAAGAAAGGTAGGTTATAAGACAGAAAAAAATAAGCAAGGTGGTTCTGAGCTCTTATGATTCAGTTCAAGAGTCAGAGTTGTATGCTATTTTCCTAGTATTATTAAATTTTTCCAGAATTTATTAGTATAGTTACTAATTCTCAATATGCTGAAAGAGTTGCTTTATATATTGAAGTCACTGAACTTATTTCATATGATTCAGAATTAATCTTGTTACTTATTCAACTATGATAGGTAATCAGAAATAGGAATCATCCATTTTATATAACACATATTGGATCCCATATGGGTCTACCAGGCCTTCTAGTACAAGGTAATGATGAAATTGATCAGCTATTGGTAAGAAAAATGCTGAAAGTGACAAAGAATTTTCTATTACTTGGCAACAAGTCATTTAAATTATAAAGAAATGTCCTACTTGTTCTTTGAATAACAAAACTCCATTATCTCTAGGAACTAACCTGGAGGGTACTCAAATAAAATTTGACAAAAGGATGTGTCTTATTTTTTGGAGTCTGGAAAATTAATATATGTACACAATACTATAGATATAAATTCAAGATTTCAATGAGCAAGTACTTTAAGTTCTGAATAGGTGTAAAAGGAGCAGCGGGCTGCATCATTCCAATGCAGAAGATCCTGAATAGTAGCAAAGAAAGCTAAAAAGCAGCAGGAAGGTTGTGTGACTGCATTTGTTTTTCTCTATTCTTGACAGTAAATGTTCTGTGAGAAGTTATTGAATTCCTTTCTGCCTGATTTCCCCGTAGTCATGAACTGTGATGCTTTGAAAGATAGTGGCCTCCATAAGTTTATATGTTTGAATACTTGGTCCCTAGTTGGTGGAACTTTACTAGAAGAATTAGGGGGTGTGACCTTGTTGAAGGGGTGTGTCATTGGGAGTAAGCATTGAGGTTTCAGAATATTAGGCCAGACCCAAAGTTTTCCCCACCTCTAACATGTTCCTCTAATGTGTTCTTAGCTATATTGTTCCAACACAATGCCTGACTGCCTGTTTTGATGCTCACCAGCATTTTGGTCATAGATTTACCCAATAGCTGTAAGCAAGGCCCCACTTATTTATAAGTTGCCTTGCGAATGATCTTTTCGTAGCAATAAAAAGTCACAAAGTTTTGGAATTAACCTGGAATTATAAGCACAAAATTTTTCTTCCTCCTCTAAGTTGACATTTGGTCAGGGTGACTTTTCACAGCAACATAAATGAAACTAAAACTAATAAAATGATTTAAGTGCTGCCAATAATTCAATAAACTATTATTTCTGTGGGGGCGTCTATGACCATCAAGGCCAGCAGAGTTACGATCTACAGGAGGGAAGGTAATTTAATTCAATGTGACTAAGCAGAAGATATTGGTTCAAATTTTGGGAATCTAACCCTGAGTAGCTTTAGGCATATTTAAGCGCAGCACAAATGGGTGAAAGCTTTCCTGGTGATAATTAACACAAACCTGTCTAAATAAATCTTGAGGAACAAACTAAACAAAAAAGGACTGGGTGTGGCTTTATTGAAACTCCTTGTTAAGTCCATCTGAAATCTTCCAAAAGGTGGGTTCTTTGTGTCTACAAGCTCATGATAAGGGCCTTGGGGATGATATGGTTTGTTCTTGGCCACAAAGATAAAGAAAGTCATTAGCCTATTAACCACATTTGTTACCAGCCTTCTGGGAAGATGAGGTAATGCATCCCTTTCTTTGAAGGAATAACCCTGTGCTTTTAACATCCCAGGTTCTCCTAATGCTTATCTGTGAGCACAAGAACCTTTGCAATGCCCATAATTTTACAAATGATTAAAATCGTACTATAATGAAAATGTTCTTTAAAGTACAGGGGAGACCAAGATTCTTTAAAATAACAGAATATGAAAAGTTCATGAATTTGGCACTGGTTCTATTTTTGTTACTACACTTTAAATAGCTATCATTTACTAAGTTGGGGTTTACAGCTAAAAAGAATATTCCCAATTATAGAAGCTTGGTTTGCTTTACATACTAAAAACATGATGCAGCATATTGAACATCGAGGTTGATGCCAGTGTCTAGATTTTCTATTATATTAGATATCAATATTCTCAAGTATATAATAATGCCACTCTTAGAACAAAATTTTCTTGAAAAAATTAGCGATTTTTCATAAAATATGTCACCAAGGGTAAGATTTTAAAAATGTATTTATTTTATGTGTATACATACATGAGCCTGCAGGAGTTTGTGTGCACCACATGTATGCAGGTGTCTGAGGAGGCTAGAAGAGGATATTGACATTTATTGGCTCTGGAGTTACAGGTGAGCCACCCATTATGGGTTCTGGTAGTCAAATCGGGGGCTCCACAAGAGCAGAGCATGCTTTTAACCACTAAGTCATCTTTCCAGCACCTAACAGAATAAGATTTTAATGGATTTTGTTCAGACATTTAAAAATAAATCTGCTCATAAATATAGCAATTCCATTCATAGATTATAGTTTTAATATTAAATGAAGTAACATCAGTAGAGCAATTTACGTAAAAGCTTTTTAAGGTCCTTGATACTTCCTGACCAAGAGTTACTGGGAAAGTAATTGAAGACTGAAGTTCTACTTCAGAGGCATTTTTAAACCCTTTTGGCAGCTACTGTTGTCTATCAAGGAGCATGCGGCTTATACTTTTTAGATAATAGCTATCAGCCATATGGGGCTCAAATGATCAGACACTCAAACACAGAGATGATTCATTTTAGAGATGAAAGTTTACAGTGTTCCTTAAATTAAAGTACTTCAGCTGTCCTAACTCTGTTGTTCACACCAGCATGTCCTGCTTTTTGATGAGCTAGGATGGAAATGCAGTTTATTTTGGATACAATGCAACCTTTGAAACTTTTTTTTTGTACACACAAAATAGAAAGTTCTAGGAGACATTTAGAAACAACCACAGTTATGCCAGAATAATTTAGAGAATTATATACTCCATAAATTAGCACACATTTATAGGGATCTAGATGCTGGCTGGCGTCCCTATAAATATTTAGGGAATACTGCGGATGTGACATGTGACTTTGGATACTGAGTTGATTGTTAGTGGAGTAATAGTCCTAATAAAAACAGCTGGGAATACATTGCTATTTTCCTGTATATCTCTTTTAGTATATTTTAAAGCAAGTACGAAATTTCTAAATCCTTTTAGTGAGCAAGACGGTTTGAGTGAGAGACTGTTTTTGAGAGGACACGAAGAGCAGAGCACAAATGCACGCATCAGTGCACTCTACCAGCTCTGAGTTTCAACACTGAGCAAAGCACCTACCTTAGAATCCATATAAATATTGAGTTGAATCATTCATGCACCATCATCACCACATAGTAGGTGCGCAACATGTAGGAGTTCTTTTTCTTCTAGTGAAATTTGATGCTGAACAAGTTTCCCTCCTAGGGAAAGTTATTACTTATATAATCACTTTCCATTCTAGACGAGGAGGAAATAAACCATTCCTCATATTTCCGCATATATTGTATAGATAGAAATTTAATTCAATTTACCCTTTACAACATTTCTTCATATAGAAAAGTAATTTTTTCTTCTAGGGCTGAAAGTAAATGTCATATCCTAATCTTTGTAAGCTTTAGTGAGCTCTTTAAATAGATAAATTACATTTTAACTGACTAGCTAAATATACTTGACTTTTTATATACCCTTTAGGATATGAAATCATACCATTCTCAGAGAACAAGATAAGAATGAATAAAATACAACAAACTAGACAAAGTTTAATGAGGTGTTATTTTATTTTATGTATACAACTTATAATTTACAATTTGGAGCATAGAGTATAAAACAGTTATCTCAGGTTAGGAATTTCATTAAAATTAATATAAATGAAACAAAATTAGATGAGATGTTTCTGTTTGTTTCCATTGGCTATTTTTACCTCACTTCTGATGGAGATATTTGTAATTTTAAAATATACTGGATTAGAAATTTCTGCTTTAAACTGTAACATGTCATTATATCTGACGAGTGTTTATGTGTGAGTGTATGTGTTGTGAGATTCCCCTCCCATTGTAGACATGAACAATGTCTACCAACTCTTCTTAAGGTTCCCCAAACAAACCAAGTGTGATTTCACCAAGTTCACACAGGGAAGTCAATGAGTTTATTGTGTTTGGTTATCTTTCACAGGTGAGAAGTTATTGACAGGAGAGGGAGTGACCCTACAGTAGCTGCTTGGAAGGTGCGCACAAGCACCAGCAAGGATGATGTATGTCTTCTCCATGGCCATGTAAGTGGAGCCTTCTTCCCTGTGAGCCTTCCCAGCTTATATACTCAGTCAACTTCTACTTCCTGAGACACCCTAATTACAAGCAATTAGGGTGGAATTACACACGAATGGCCCGGAAAAGTGGGTGGAAGCATAGATGAAGGTCAACTTCTTATTCCATTTTCTATAAGGCAATGTCAGCAGACAGAACCAGATGGTGATGGACCTTATAAACAGGCACTAATGATATCAACAAGATGTTAGCTGCTTGACTTGGAGAGCACATTCTATAACTGTATGTATGTATGTATGTTCATGTTGCTGTACATGGAATGTGTAAATATGAATGAAGAGACTAGAAGTCTCCATCAACGTCGTCAATTCTTCTCCACCTTATTTACTCACTGTCTCTTGATGAACATGAAGCTCACTGATTTGGTTAGATAAGCTGTCCAGAAAACCTACAGGAAACCTCTGTCTCCACCTCTCCAACACAGGATTGCAGGCACATGCTGCCCAAACCAGCATTTTACATAGGTGCTTGGGATCCAAATATAAGCCTTTGTATTTGTGTACAAATACATTACTCACTTAGATATTTTTCCTAATCACTGAACTAGTACTTTTGATTTCAAAGTTATAAGGATAGATATGTGTATGAGATAATTATTTTCAAATCTTATATATAAGGCAGCTCACATACATGATTCTACAATAGGAAAAATATATATGAGACCAGGCTGATGACTATTCTATATGCTCAAAAATGTGCCATTTAAAAAGTGTGTCATATATACAAGAGCTACTAAAAATACAGAAGTAACCCCATGAAACACTTAACCAGAAATGCCTGGGAGTCTCAAAATCAGAGACTCTAGGATGAACCAATGTTAGCACACTTAGACAGATACTTTAAAAATTGTGCAGTCAATATATTTAAGGAGTTAGTAAAATGGAGTCATAATGAACCAAAAGAAGTCTTAAAGTTTAAATAAGAAGAAAGGATGTGTGGGAGGAGGGGGAGGGAAATGGGAAACGGGGAGGAGGCGGTAATTTTTCAAAATAAATAAATAAATAAAAAAGAACGGAAATTATAAAATAAGTGAAATAGAAAAACTATAAAATGTAACAAAAGAAAATTTAAATGTGAAAACTGACATGCTTGAAAAATTACAGTTTTGAAAAACTGACTGCTTCTGCTTATGAATTGAGATAAATGTTCAGTTTTTTTCTAAGTATTGAAAGAAATACATCGAATGAGTTTTCAGAGATGAAGTATTCTGGAGATAATCCCTGAGAAACTGGAAGCAAATGAAATGTGAGAGTTTTACAGTCTGCCTGCACAGAAGGAGGCAGAAGAAGGGAATTTGCAAAATTAGGAGACCATTTGGTTGTAACATCCTTTTGGGTCCAGGTGTTAGAGAAAAGACCTGTGCAGAGCCAGCGTGACGGAGATGTACAGAAGGTCCACACAAGTCCTCGGCTGGCCATGGTCAATCACATCCATACCGTCTTAGAGAAGGAGCACTGTAAAACAGGAGGAACAGCATGTGCAGCTTGTGGAGCCCCTCAACGGCATTGCTTATTAATTATACCGGGGAAAAGACACATGGCAACTCAGAGTGCTGTGGAGCGGCAAGTGGGATCACCATCGCTTGACTATAGCACCCTTTTCTAAGGCTTCTAGGCTCACAAACTGGTCTTGAAAGATAAAATTTTGCAAAACTCTTAATTTAATTCACAATTATTCTATAATCAAGGACAACTTTGCCATATTAGATAGGCTAATGAACACGATACAAAACATCCACCACAGTATCTGGTTTGATATAGCAAGTTAAAAATAATGTCATCTACTTCATACATTAAGATGACTACTATAAAAAATCCTAGAGGATAACAAGTTCCTGTGAAGAAGTGGAGACGTGGAGGTACTAGCTCACTGTTGGAGGGATGTCAAATGATGCAACTGTTACAGAAAATAGAGAAATTCTACAAAAAACTAAACACAGAACAGCTTGAGGATTCAGTAATTCCATTTCTTGGTATATGCCCAAAAGGAATGAAATCAAGCTCTTGAAAAGGTTTTTACATAGTCATGCTCTTAGCAACGTTGTTCACATAGCTGAATGGCAAAAGCAGCCCTGGTGCCCATTGTTTAGTAATGGCAAAACAAAGGTGGCATGTACAAATGTCACAAATTGTTAAAAAGGCAAGAAAACTTGAGGCATGCTACAGCAGAGATGAAACATCAGGAAGATATTCAAAGTGAAAGAAAGTATCATAAGAAAACAAGTATTGTCTGATTGCAGGAGACACCTAGACTAGCCAAAATCATAGAAACAGAAAGTCGAATGGCATCTGCCAGAACCTGCCGAGAAAACAGAAGAGGGAGCTTTGATGGGTACAGTATCTGTTTTGTAAGATCAAAGACTTCTGGGGAATGGCTGCATATGATGTACTTGACACCGCTGAACTGTGTACAGGGAAAATGGTAAATTTTATGGTAGGTTTACTTTCCATTTAAAAATTATTTTGAAACAAGAAAGATTTATTTTGGATTTTGAGATATGGTTTCTCTGTGTAGTCGTGGCTGTTCTGGAATTATATTTGTAGACCAGGCTGGTCATGAACTCACAGAGATCCTCCTGCTTTTGCCTCCCAAGTGCTGGGATTAAAGGTGTGCGCCACCATCGCCTGGCAAAAACCAAACAAATAAAGAAGATTTGCTTTTAAATGTGTGTGGATTTATGCACATCTCAAATGTGCTTGTGTGCAAAAGAATGTATGTGTGCATAAAGGAGTTGAATCCTTTAGAAATGGAGCTATAGGCAGTTGTGGGTTCCATGAAGTGAATGACAGAAACTGAACTTGAGACCTTCGCACGAGCAGTATGTGCTCTTAACCACTGAGCCATCTCTCCAGCACCTCAAAGGGATTAATTTTAAGTATCAAAGCTGTTACATAAAAAGGACATAAAATAAAAGACAAATATAGCAAGCGAACCATGACTGAAATAGAATTATCAGTTCCACATAAAATTTACTTATTACCCAGCTTTTACCTGACACAAAGAAAACCCGAAGATGCAAACAGCTCTGAATTCATTAAAGAAATACCACTGATATGTAGTATGCCCTCAAAAATGAGGTTGGAATGTCAGCTGTAGGATGTGGTGAATTCATTCAGTTGTTCAAGGACATTCCCGTAGCCTCAGTTTTCAGAAGCTGGAACAGGGTACGGATGGCCCATGTAGGGCTAAAAGGAAGGTATGGACATGATCCCAACACATTGTATACATACATAAAATTTTCAAAAAAAATGAATAAAATAAAATTTAAAAGGGTAACAAAGTATTTTTTATAAAAAGAAAATGTGGTGTAGGTGAATACAGTTCCCCAATTTTTTTTGAGACTCGTATAATGGAATATTCTAAAAAACTGATGAAGATAAAATTGCCAGCAATTATTTTTCATGAACACTGAAAAATATTTAAAAAATATTGACAATATTCTTTCCTTGTACTATCAAGCAGTAGTATTTATTTCCTAGGGGCTTTCGTGATGGTTATATTAAAAGTCAAGGATGGACCATTCCTTTTTTTTTTTTTTTTTTTTTTT